GGTGCTAACGAACCCACCACTGCTCAGTGGAGTGCAGGTGGGTGCTCTCTGCACACCCCAGGGCAATGGGAGCCCATCAGGGACCCACAGGGTGTCCACTGCCCCTGAATGGCACGGGGCCAGAGAGGCTTCCTTGGCTCTGACAGACAGCACTGAGCCCTGCCTCAGTTTCCCCATCTTTGCCATGCAGGTAGTTGTGGGGAACAGTTAGTTACTGTCCATAAAATGCTTTGAGAATGGCAAGACTCCTGCTGCTGTGTTATTATTAATAACCTCCAGGCTTTATCACTGAAACTGCTGCTGGAGATGGAAGTTTCTTATAGCCACAAATGGTTGAGTTTGATTTAGGGAGCCGTAGTTTATATGAGTGAAATGATTATAAATACAATTGGTTCATTTCCTGCTGCACTAAAGCAGACAAGCAATTACCAGTACAATATTGCCATCTCCACTTCAGGCCCCAACCTCTTCCATGCCAGGGTAAAGCTCCCGGAGCTTGGGCTGCTGCTGACGGGAAACCCGCTGCCCCAAGCACCCTGGCAGACCCCTGCAAGGGGTCCCGCAAGTCTCTCCTGCCTCACACAGGAACCCGGAGATGGCTTTTCTGGGCAACAAGTTGGGCAGGCTCAGCACCCGGCAGCAGAGGTGCTGATGGCAGGAGGGGCATTCGATCCACCTGATGGGAGACACCAGGACAGGAGGGTTTCAAAGAGAACCAGAGCAGGCAGAAGTCGAGCTGGCCCGTGGTACAGTGAAGGTAAGACCCTCGCTGTCCCCTTGGAGGAACTCCGCTGACTCAGCTCTTGCAGAGGCACCCCGTGACTTGCTGGCCTGTTTGGGACTGCTCCATCCTGTGGTATGCCTGAAAACTGTGCCAGACAACCAAATAGGAAACCAGAGCACTACAGACACCAGGAAAGATGTTTGGGTAGAAATAACCCTATTAGTTTTAAGAAAAAAATATGCAAAAGCAAAAAAAAACCAATCCCAATAGTTTGCAGTGGAGTGAATGCTGAATGGCTGTGATAATAGCCTTCAATCCTGGAGACATGCAGAGTGATTCATCTGGGACACAGACATCAGCGATGGGATAATTCAGGAAAACCCCCATGAAAAGGCCCCGCAGTCAGTGGGACTGGCACCCCCAGCCCCCTGCTCTGGCCTTGCCCCCGGCTCCCACTGCTGCTCCCACAGGTGCCCAGACCCTGAAGCAGAGGGCTGGGTGCCCACACCGCTCTGGGTGAGCCCAAATGCGCAGGGGCCCAGGACTGGGCGGCATCGCTGGCCCTGGGCAAACCAGGACAGCGGCAAGAAACCGCGCAAGGGAGAGGGTGGCTTTGGCTGTTTCATTTAAGAAGGGCTTGGTTTTGGGATGGCCTGGAAAGACGTCGTTCCGGCACTTTGGGAGGAGAAACTGGCTCCGCAGCAATACCCAGTTTACAGGGCAAGCCACCAGCTCAGGACACATCAGGGCTGAAGCTGGCACCGAGACCCGTAGGGGTGAACCCTGCTCTGGTGGGGTCCCCACCACTACTCCTCCTTGTCCCCCTGCCCCAAGCTCTGTGTTCTGATCCTGAGGGTGAGGCTGAAGGTGCTCCCAGTGCACAGCCCTGTTAAAGGCAGGGAGGGCAGTACGGAGCCCATGGTGGGATCCTGCTTTCCTGCAAATGTACCCAGGGTTTTTTCCAACCCATAACTAAATACACAGAGCAGGTGAGTAGAGGGGGATGGGACACTCCCCATGCCACCACATCCCACAGCCCTGCTCCACCCCAGCCCCAGGACATAGCCCTGGGTGCCATAGCTGCAGCAGGAAAATCCTGCCCCTTTGTCCCCATGGGTCAGCAAGTGAGAGAGACCAAGTGCTTTGGGGCTCACATGGCTTTAACTCCCTGGGAAAACCCAAGGATTGATATAGAGAAACAGGGTTGGAAAAGAAAAGGAAACAAAGAGCATGATCTGCAAACTCCAGTTCACTCTCAGGTGCAAGAGGGTGGATGTCTCCGCCACGTACAGCACTGAGAATCATACAGAGCTGCAATATAGAGATCTATGTATATATTTATAGGTATGTATATATTTATAGTGCACTGCATTTAAAACAGCCGGGCCTGCTTCTTCAGCTCGTTCCTCTTCCAGAGGGCCAGTCGGTCGAACTCGGCGATGGTCATGCCAAAGATCTGGTAGAACTCCTCCTGGGAGAGGTGGCGCTGGGGAGAGAGGGGCTGCTGGGCCAAGGCTGGGGACCGCGGCCACCACCTGGGGCCAACGGCCACCACCTGGGCCACATGGCTGCAGTGGGGGGAAGAGGGCATGTGAGGGGGGTCTGACAGCATCCCATGTCTGGCTGGGTGTAATGGGGTGCTATAACCTCCAGCAGTGCTGACTCAGGAGAGGGGACCACCTGGCTCTCTCCCACTCCTGCCAAAGGCGCTCGTGCCATGGGCACAGGGAACAGCTCTGCCCAGTGAGCAGAGCAGCAGGACCACCATAACCGTGTGCTGGCACATGTGTGCTCCTGGGGAGCCATGGAGATGCTCCTCACACGTCCATGAGCCCCTTGCAGCTTGCCAGCTATGCAGACACCCCACGGGACTGGGTACCTCTGACCCCAAGGAGATCTCCAGTGCAAAAGGCTCCCCTCACCTCTAACCGAGTCCTGTCCACATCTTTGGGCAGCTGGTTCCTCCCCCTTGTCTTCACCAGGAGAAGCTCGTAGGGGTATATCTACATGAGAACAGAAAGACCATGGGGTAGCCCTGGAGCCGGAAGTGGCCAGTTGAGGCACAGCTGGGAATGAGACTAGGGGGGCCACCAGGGCGAAGCCTCCTCCTGCCGTGTTTCGCAGAGTTTGGGTGGCACTGCTGCCTCCAGGGCTTGGATGGGATAAGGCAGAGGGGAGACTTGCTCTCAGGGTGACCTTCATCCACCCTGAATCACCTTGATGACTCTGCAATAGCCTGCTCACTCTGCAAAACCAGGAGTGACCCAGGAATGAGTGTGAGTAGGGAACCACCACCTCAACCACCCTTCTTTGCTCCTCACCCCGCAGACACTTCTGCAGGGCCAAGTGCTTGGGGCCCTGGCAGGAGGGGAAGGACTCTGGTTGGAGCCCCACAGGACAGGGCTATCGGGTGGGGGATGGAGGGGGACGAAGCCAGGGCATTGCAGGCAGAGGGCAGAGCTTCCTCCTGAAGGGCCTGGGGACACACGGACATGGCTCTGGGACTCCCTCCAGGTGGTACTCACACCTCTGGCTGGCAGCCACTCCTCGGAGCGGGAGCATCTTACCTTGTACTCTGTGGGAGAGAGAAAAGACAAGAGAGACATGAGCCATGCTGACCCCTCCACTCCCGGGATCCTTCCCCCGGGGTTGCGGGGACCCCTGCCTGTCTCTCCCCTTCTCCCTCCAGCCTGGATCTTGTTTTCCGGAGCTGCCTGTGGTGGGGTAGGCAGCCCCACGGCATCTGACCCCGTGCCCGCAGGGTCCCCTGCCCACGCTGCTCCCCAGCCCATGGCACCTTACCTCGCATCCCCCAGTTAACGGCGTTTGTGCTGTCGTAGTGGAACAGCTCGGCACTGGGAGGCTGCAGGAGGGATACAGGGAGGGAGGAGTAAGAGAGGCTGCCCTCCAGACACTCAGCACCGCACCCCTCCTATGTCCCCAGCGGGGAGGGCACCCACCCAGCCCAAAGCAAGAACCACTCCCTGCACCTGGCAGTGGGGAAACTGAGGCACAAGGAGGTGAAGTGACAAGCCCAGGTCACACAGAGGCAGGACCAGGTTTCCTGACACCCAGCAGTGGCTGCCCCAGGGTATAAAGCAAAGCCCTCATGTTGGGAAAAAATACCAGGGTCCCTCTGAAACGTGTCCTGCAGGATGTTCAGGACAGGCACGTCTGTCCTGCAGTGCCTGGACAGGGCACTTTGGTCCTCAGTAAGGGTCATTTTGGATTGGCGCTGACCAGCAGTGACTGGAGGGGTGCAGAGAAGGGGGGAGCAGGACATGCTAGTCATGAAACGGGGACACCAGGGCCTTTGAGGAGCCTGAGGAGAATGATGAAAGGCGCAGAGATGGCTGGCAGTAGCAGGATACAGGCAGAAGGCACTTACCCTGTGCAGCCCGTTCCTCCTGTAGGCAGGGAGGGAGGCTGACTTTGAAATGAGGGGATCTGCAAAGAAGCCACCAAGGTGCATAAGGGAAAAGGCAAGGGTGAGCCCCACACCCGGGAGAGCACCCACTGGGCCACCCTACCCCTGTGCTCCCACATCGCTACCCAGCTCCATGTTCACCCAGCTCTGTCTCTGTCCAGCTCCATCTCACTTCCAACCTGGCTTCTTCCTGTGTTGATATTTCTCTCCCCAAAATCCCTTTCCCATGGCAGCCCTCCCACCTCACCCTTCGGCACAACACAATCTCCTCTTTCAGTTTCTCTGACTCGTCCTCTCCTGATGCTGCCACCAGCTCTGCCCTGGCACAGCCTTTCAAGGGCTCCTTCTTCTCTCCCTTTCTTCCTCCCCAGTCCCAGCATCTCCTCCAGCTCAGGGTCTGGACCCCACACTCACCACTGTCGGCCAGGTAGTGCGTCCGGGGAGCTGCAAGGAGAGCAGAGCTGGACGTCAGGGAGGACCCAGCGTCCCACGCCACGCAGAGCTGCCCAGCTGCCAGCCCCACAGGTCCTCCTCGGAGCTCCTGGTTGCCCAGCAGGGCTGAGGGGCTCCCCAAGTACCCCCAAACAGCCCCAGCTCCGTGAGGGCAGATGTGCCATGAGGAAGGGGAGCACGGAGTGGACAGCGGCATCTGTGCTGCCAGGCTCCCCAATGCCCCCAGCCTCCCCTGCAGCCTGGAGGGGAGAGGGGCTGGGTGCCCTGGGTGCTGTGCCGTGAGAGCAGCACAAGGCAGGCAGCCCTGGGGCCAGCCAGCAGGTTGGGGTGCCAGGAGGTCTCAGATGGTTCATGAGGAGGAGGTACACACGCTGCGAGACCAAAACGGGTCAGAGCAAACCCAGTGTGGCTGTGCTGTGAGATTCCAAAGGGAATCCTTTCTACTGCCTGTGAGGCACCTCAGGCTGCTGCACAGATTGCAAACACCCGTGGGCGATGCCTCATCCCAGCTGTGGCACAGGGAACAGATGGAACCCTCCAGAGAGGAAAAGAGTCTTCCAAGTCCAACCCTGGCACCAGCACTTCTCCTATCACCCCATCCCTGTCCTTCCCTCTCCACCCCAGCAAATTTCCCACAGGAGCTGGGGTTGTGCCAGGTGGGACTGACAGATGGACAGGGCTGTCCTTACAGCCATTGAGGGAGCCCTCGTAGCCAGCCGTGTGTAGGGCTTCTCTGCTGCTGGCCGAGCTGCGAGGCGGCGTCCAGGGGGCTGCGTAGGAGTGGCTCCTCCCTCAGGATCACCCTGCCAATGCCACTCTGGATCTGGGCAGGAGAGGGGAAAAAGCTGCTTCGCACCCCTCCTGCTCTTGCCCAGCCCTGCCTGACCACTGGCACATCGTGGCAAGGCACGGCACCTCCTGGCACGGGCTTGGTATCTCCCATCTGCTCCCCTGTCCCCCAGGACAAGGTGCTGGGGCGGGCTGCCTCAGCAAGGGGGGTGCATCCCTCCTCCTTCACACCTCGTGTTGGGGGTGGCCAAGAGGCAGATGGCAGAGGGATGGTGGTGGCTCCTTCTTGGGTAGCAGAACTGGGCTGGGCCTCCTCCCAAACCCAATTGCCACAGGGACGGCTGCTGCCGGCTCTGCCCTGCCAGGCTGCGGGCAGGGAGATCACTCACCTTGTGCATGCCCCGGTCGTACCCGTCCTCCTCACCTCCCGACGAGAACCTCCGGGCCCGAGGGGCTGCAAGGAGATACATGGAGGGTTAGATTGGAGGCAAAGGTGGAGGCAGGTGGGGAGGAGACAGTCCCCAGCTGCATGGGGACAGCCATGTCCCAAGTGCTGCTAGGATTTTGGGGTCACTTTGGCAGGTATCTCAGGTCAAGCCCACCTTTGAGTCCCAGCTCAAGGGAGGAGGAGCTCAGGGAATGGCTGGGGTTGGGGGCAGGAATGGCTTTCCATTTCCCGCAGCACCATGCAGGGCTGTTACCTTTGGGGGAGCCTTGGAAGGACCAGTACTCTGACTCAGAGTGGTAGTATGGGTCCGGGGAGTAGGCAGGGCTGTACTTGGACGACTGTGCAATGTCTTCACTGGTTTTGCTTTTTGTGGCTGCAGGGAGGTTGTCTGCAAAAGGAGCAGGGAGAGCTGTAATGAGTCCCACCAGCAGGACTTGCAAAGATCCATCCTCTTCCCTCCCCTCTCCCCATGGCCACCAGTGATTTATGGCCAGGACAGTGCGGAGCAGAGCTGGGAATAATCCACTTTGAAACTGCTGACACCTCCTGGAGACAAGGGTGGGGACAGTCACCAGCAGAGGGGCTGTCGCTGGTGTTACTGGGAAGGGACCATCACGGCTCATAGCCCACAGCACCACGATGAGCTCTGGCTCCTGCAAGGAGCTGATCCCCAGCCCCAGTACCAGCGGGCCCCCAGGCCGCAGGCTGTCCCGTCATCCCAAGGGCTACAGCTGCACAGGCAGGAGGGGATGGAGGAAGGCTCATTCCCGGGGAGAGGGCTCGCAGTGGGTTACTGCCACAGGAAGGCAGCGGTGGGCTGTGCAGCAGGGGTGGGGGAATGGAGGGGTGACCCCAGCAGCTCCAGCTCTGGCAGTGGCACACGCAGAGCTCTGCTCAGGCTGGGGGCTGTGCCTCGGCAGCACGCGCGAGAAACCCACGGGCAAGCCCTGCTCCTTTCTCCCAGAGACCAGGGGACTTGCAGGGAAGGAGCACAAAGGAGAGGCTGTGTGGCAGAGCCATCCCACCACCCCAAACAGGTGCAGGGGACCCCCCAATGGCAGCTACTTACAGGAGCAGGTGCAGCCAGGAGCGGGTGGACGGGTGGTGGGAGTTGGGCAGGTGGGCAGGGAGAGCCCAGGGAGAGAGAGGAGACATGGTTACTGCTCGGGAGCAGCTGCTGTCCCCCTACGCACAGAAGCAATCAGGGAGAGCACAAGCCAGCCCTGCTGGGAAACACCAAACACCCCTGTGCCTGCTTCCCAGCCTTCAACAACCCCCGGGACTGTTTCACGCTGGAGCATCCATCCAGGACAGGCTGTGGTTTTTCTCCAGGGCTCCACATGAAACTGCAAACTACCTTCTTCGTCTCTTTCCTAAGGCTGTCTCCTGGTTTCGGCTGGGATAGAGCTAATTTTCTTCTTAGTAGCTGGTATAGTGCTATGTTTTCCAATTTAGTATGAGAACAATATGGATCCTACACTGATGTTTTTAGCTGTTGCTAAGCAGTCAAGGACTCTCAGCTTTCTGTGCTGTACCAGGTGCACAAGAAGATGGAGGGAGCATAGCCAGGACAGCTGGCCCAAACTGACCAGTGAGATATTCCACACCATACAACACCATGTTCAGTATATAAAGTGGGGGAGTTGGTCACAGGGGGCTATCACTGCTCTAGAGTGGGCTGGGCATCAGCCAGTGGGTGGTGAGCAATTGTATTGTCCATCACTTGTTTTGTATATTCTTTTATTATCATTGTTACTATTATTACTATTTTTCCCCCTATTAAACTGTCTTTATCTCAGCCTATGAGGTTTTTTTTCTGATTCTCCTCCCCATCCCATTCCGTGGAAGGGGCAGTAAGCGGGTGGCTGCATGGTGCTCAGTTTTGGCTGGGGTTAAACTGTGACAGGCTGCTCTGGCTCCTGGCATCAGCTAGCAACGGCCACCCTTGTCCCCTCTGCCATCCATTTGTGGCCTTGCTCCCCTTCCATATCTATCCCTGTCCCTGGTGCCACTGACAGCCTTTATCTCCACTCCTTGCAACAGGGATGCAGTTCAAAGCTGCCTTTTTCTCACGCTGAACCCTGCCCTTCTGCTGCCCAGAGGGGAAGCAGGAGCATGAGCCCACCGAAGCCATCTTGCCCCGACGCCTGCTCCCACCTCCTGCCCTGCCCCAAACGCAGCTCAGCCAGACCAAGCCCTGCACTGGTACCCTGCCCCGTTGCCCTGGCGGAGCAGAGCCCGGTACGCGCACGGCAGACCGTACCGTGTCGCTTATAGATGGGAGGCTTCCGGTAGATGTTACTCTCGCCAGCAGCTGGTGACAGAAGAAGGAAAGAAAGGGAAGAAAGAAGGAAAGAAGGGAGAAAGGAGAGATCAGCATGGGTGTGCCGAGAGTGGACAGGACAGAGGTCCTGCCGGAGACGCTACCCCCACACCACGTTTCCATCACACAACTGCGTCAGGGTCCGCGCATCCCACGGGAGCACAGAGCCAGGCCTGGGCCGGGCAGGCTCCAGGACAGGCAGCAGGAACGCAGCCGGGGGCTGCCCTCGGGCAGCAGGTGCGCGCAGGGGACATGCAGTG